AGCCTGTAGCCATGCACGGGGTGGTTGTGGCCCAAGGGCAGGACCTGGCACTTGCCCTTGTTGAAGCTCATCCCGTTAACGTTGGCCACCGACCCAATCTATCCAGGTCTCTCTGCAGAGCCTCCCTGTCCTCATGCAGACTGACTCTCCCACTTCACTTGGTGTCATCTGTGAACTTACTGCTGATACACTCCGTGCCCTTATCAAGGTCAATACAGGCTCTTTCAAGACACTGATCTATCGAGATCTGGGGGGGCTTTGCCTTTACAAGAGCTGCTAACACATGGCCCTCGCTAACACAGAGCAATGCCAGGGTCTCTGGTTTGCAGACGATCCCCTTGCTGCCCGCAGTGAGATGAAGCATCACGGCTGCACACAAGACTGGGGAGGGGAGCAGCTCCCCCCTCACTCACCAGCTGAGCGTCCTGAACCAGGGCAGGTCATACGAGTGGTACACGTTATAGCCAATTGTGATAATCTCGTGGAAACATTTGATCTGGACACACATCACCTGCACAAAAACACATCTGGAAGCTGTAATACAGGTTGGTTAAACATCTCTCTTCAAGGAGAGAAAAAACAGAGCAGAGCAAAGGATACTTTAGCAGTCGCTGTCAGTCTGGCAGGAGTCTCTAATCCAACATGGGAAAGTCATTGTGTAGGTTTTCCCTCCCATTTCTTCTGCAGGAGGTTTCTAAACAACCCCATGTATTAGTTTTAATTGCAGCCAAATGCTGACCACCAGGGCAGAGAGTTACAGACTCCTCCTAGGTTTCCTCCATGGAGAGAGAAATCCAGCAAGCTGAATATGGATCTCTAAAATATAAGGCTCTGAGCTGCCCACCCCAGCAGTGGTCCCAGCAACCTTCCCCTCTATGGCTGTGAACATCAGGGCACTTCTCTGGACTTACTATTGTCATTAAGACCATGGGTCCCAAGTAGATGATGATGAAGAAGAAGGTGATCATTGCCAGCGTGAGGATGCCTCTTACCCACCAATTCTTCCATCTAGGCCATAAAGAAGGAAAAAAGTTAGAGAAACTTGAAACAAAACCAGGAAGCAGGACAGCACTTCTGCTCTCTGCACATCACAGGAAGGAAACTGAGCCCTGGAAACCCCAAGTTTCCTTTTAGTGCTGCAGAGTGACCTTGATCTAGTGATGAAGGTCTGGTTGCAGCAGCTGCAAGGCTATGGTTCAGCTCAGCCTTCCCTGCTATGAACCTCAATAAATGCAGAAAGCATTAGCCAGCTCCAAGGGCACTGAAACAGGACAGGAGAGCATCTGTTCCTGTTCTGCTACAGGTTTCCGAAACCCTGGACAAGTAGTAAGTTGTTATTAATAAGTTCAGATAAAACGGGGACTATTATCCCTCTCTGCACTCCCTTTCAAGAGGAAACATGGGCCCTGGAGTGTTGTAACCTCACTAGTCTCCTACAGATCCTGCCTTGAGCCCCTCCCATCTCACAGCACACCCAGCAGAGACACTTTCTGTGATATGTTTTCCCCCCAAAGCAGTCTGTAGAGAGCATTCCCAGTTTGCTCTTAAACCTTGTCCCTACCAGCCTGCTTTTCTCACGCATTCCTGCAGAAGTAGGTCACACCAGTGGTTAAAACCACCGCAGCTGAAGTGCTGTCAAAGCTAAACACTTCTGCCTCTGTTCACCTGCCAAGAGCAAGCAGGCAGCAAAGCAGCAGCACCCCTCTGCCACCCATCTTCTCCCACGCACAGCCCTGAGCGCTGCACTGTGCTCTCAGCACCCTCATCTTCTGCTTCCTGTGGCCTCGGGGGCACCTTCCTGCTGCACACCACGGAGGGAGAGCGCAGCGCTTCTGAGAGCTGCTTATTCAGCTTCCAGCAGCCACCGCCATGCTGCTGGGCCTGGGAAAACCACAGTGAAGGTGCAGGGGCCCTGGCACCAGAGGGAAACGATGCTCAGGGAGTGCTACCTTGAGGACAGGTTGGAGAGAGCTCTGTTCAGGACCTCTGGAGTGTCATCTGATGTCGGCACAGGGGCTGATCCTCCAAATTCAGATCTGCTTTCACTGTCTGACGCTGTCTCTGCATCCAGCTTGTTCTCGGACTCTGACTCCTGCAAGTTAAAGAGAGACAAAGAGCTTTACTAGACGCAATGCCCACTGGATGTAACACTTATCACAACTCTGCTTCTGCATGAAAAGAGAAGAAAATATTTCAGGTATGACATGAGGTTATACCCATGAGAAACAACATCAAGTGTTTTAGGTGACATACACAGTGAGTTTTACTCTCCGTCAGCTTCAGCAGCAGCCACAGAAAAGGATCTGTTCCCTCTGAACAGCTACAGATGCCTCACTGTTGATTAATACGTATCTCCACGTCCAGCAAATGCTTAAGGGACACGGGCTCGTTAGCAGGAATTTTTACAAGGTCTCCCAGTCCCCAGGCAGATCTCCAAGTATGCCACACTGCCCAAATCAGACAGAAAGGCCTCCAAGTAGACAGGCTCAAGGCTTCCAGACAGACTTTTGAAGTGCTGACTTTACATGCGGGCACTAAAAATAACACCGAGCCCATCTTCAAACAGCTAAAGAGGAAGAGCACAGCTTATCGCTCAGGCCCAACCATCCTCTCTGGCCACAGGAGAAACCTGATGTACTGGAAAGAAATACATGTGCTGTCCCCGCCCCTCGCTTAGCTCAGAGCAAAGTCCTGTGTTTAGGGGGTAAATAAATACAGGCGAAGCAGGAGGTTACTGAAGGCTCTGCAACAGGCCAGTGGTGGAAAAAGGATTATAAATGTCCTCCTGGCTCCCAGGCAGTCCCATGTCCTCTCCCAGCAGCATTCTTTCTTCCAGCCCAGCTCCTGAATAGAGGACGAATCCAAACTTCCACGTTTTGCCCTTCATTTCAGCAGCAGAGCTTCATCCTGCCCCTCAGTCCTTGAAGCAAGGAAGGAAAAGGCCTCTCTCCCTGGGGAGCACTCATGTCTCAGGCATTTCACCTCAGACCATGCACTATTTTAAAACCCCCGGAAAAGAGAGCGTGTTTGCAGGAAAAGCAAGGAGGGACACGAGCTGATAGACGCTGGGAGCTCTGCAAACCAAGTGACTTCACCCTTCTGGGCTCCCAGGCAGCGCTGCCCCGTGCTGGGAGAGCAGGGACCCCCACCAAAACAAGCATCTGCCGGGACTGGTGGGGTGTAACCAAATCCAGGAGTATCTGCAGTCCGCTAGAGCAGTAAGCCTGGAGAGGTCCCTTATTTAAGGCAGGAAGAGATAATTACTCCCCAAGCTAACGTATCAATGGCTGCAGGCCAGGTTCTTAAAACAGACCAGGACAACTAGACACCGTCAGGTGGAGGCAGCTAAAAATACGACGGTGTTGTCAGAGATGACTTCCGGGGACGAGCGAAGCACCAGCCATCACGCCAGCCACACCTCGTGTCGCCTCCTCCTCGCCTTGCTTCACGCTCACTTCTTTCTGTACCCATCGGCAGGGAAGGAAGAGGAACCCAAAAGTAACCACCTTTGCCAGCGCTCACGTGGGTCTGGCGAGCTGATAAAGAAATGCAACTTGGCTTTTTTTTTTTACAGCTGGTTTTTACGTGACTTGTAAAACCTGCTTGTTCCTTGGACTTCAGGGAGATTTAGTGCCATTTAGCTGGGAACAGCCAACAGATCAAATCCATAAGGCAGCTGCAAATGGCAGCAGGCAAAAAGACTGGAAATGATAAAACTCCTTGAAGACCATGAGTTTGGCATCCCATAGCACAGCACAGGTCAGGGGCCCTGTCCTCGAGCAGGGTTTGGGAAATGCATGTAGCGCTACATTTAGCTCCAGTCGATGTTTCCCATTGCAATGCTTTCTCTATGCTTTCTCAAAGAAAAGGATTCTCTGAAGAATTCTCCTGTGAGCAATCTAAACAGAGAGAAGCTTCAGCTCTAGCCTGACCAAACTCAAGTTTCTCCTTCTGGTCTTCTAGATTCCGTTCAGGAAATGGGGGGGTTCTCTTGTTGCATATTTCTAAAGACAAAAAATTAATGTGACTGATTCAAATCAAATGGGCAAGGAAGTGTTCAGGTACTTAGGGCAATCACTATCATCTGTACAGGCTACAATCAAAAACCTCAGGCGGCTTTCTAATGCAGTCCAGGTATCCATCATCTCATGCAAGTCCCAGGCTCGCCAGCCATGCGATAAAAGGACCAAGCATTGAAACGAGGGAGCAGCTCCACGGCAGCAGCCCTGCGTTTTACTCCCCAAAGCGCTAACGTTGCGGGGCTAAGTGCAAAGCCGGCAAATTACTCTTTGCCTGTAGCCCAGAGGATCTGAAGTTTCACAAAGTGCTCAGGGACCAAAAGAAAGGGAAAGGGTGCTGATGCCTTCCTCCCTTCTACTCCTGGCCAAGAACATGAAGGATGAAAGCAACTGTATAGCTCAAGAGACAGAGGAATTTGATGTTGCAATCAAGCTGCTGGAACAGGCAGTCCCGACCTCTGCCACAGCCCAGCCAATGATTTCTTGCACTGACATGGATGGTACAGCTAAACTGACGTAAAGCACATCACCGGTTACCTGCTCCACCGATTTCAGTGCAACGCCAAGTCAAACCTTGTGCTGAAAAGTGTTTTGGTCTCCAAGAGCAGGAGGAAAACCTCACGGGCTCAGTCCAACAGCGCAGGCATCCCGCTGTTCCCCACTTCATCCTCAGCAGCGGGAAGAGGAGACGTTGTGCGCAGACACGCAATGCCCACAGCTCCAACCAGCATCGCCACTTTATGTCCGGAGAGTACAAAAAAGGCACCCAAGAGGTTTGTCAAGATAAAGGGATGTTGTTAGGGTTCAACATTAAATGTAAGACCCATTCCTGCTACAGGTCTTGCTTGCTCAATTTAAGCCTGATGAGAGGTGGAAGAAAACATTTTCCCTGATGGAAGAAACGGCCAGTCAAAGTGAGGGCTAACGTACATGTCAACATCCTCACTTTGAAACCAGCCGAGCAGCGCCGGGAATCAGCTCTTCCTCCTTAGATCTCTAACTGAAACAGAGTGTTGAGATTATATAGGACATTGTGCCAGATATAGGCTATGGAGAGGACTCAGTAATTGACACTATTTTTATACATTTTATGCAAATTGCAACCATCAGCCTACAAACCACCAGTTTAAGCAGCTGAGCGAGATGCTAAATAACTTGTTTAAGCCTGAGTGTGATGCACCCTGGTCTGGGCTACTTAATCCAGCTGTGGCATTGCCTTGGTAACACCCTCCCACACGTTTCCAGTGCTACCTCACCGGTCCTCCAGCCGAGCCAGACAGATCCATCCCCGAAGGATAATCACCGGAGAGCAACGCTCTCCACAAAGCAGCCCGCAGCAGCAAGCACTGAGGGCAAACAGGCACATGCGCCGGTGAGCGATGCTCGCCGAGGGCTATCGCCGGTGCAGATTTAAGCTCATCACAGAGTCAGTGCTTCTGCAAAGAGCTTGTGAAGCCAAGGGGCAGGTTTGGGCTATGTTAAGCCACGGACTGCAAAGTGTGTCCCGCAGTGCCAGTACAAAGAGCGTTTCAGGGAAGCTGGGTCTAATGGATGGTATTCTGTCACCAATTCTGCTGCTCACCTAAGAAACACCAGGTTTCTGATGCCTCTTCTGTGCTGTTTTCTCCTATTTTCTGTTCTTGAAACAAAAGCCTGGAGAGACTCAGACTCACAGTAAGTTAACCCAGAAATCATGACTTGAGTCCTTACCCAGCTGCTGGACCAAACTCTCTCCTTTATCTTCCCACAGACCTAATTTCTGCCTTTCTTTTGGTTGTTGCTTAGGTTCTTCCCAAAATCGAAGATATTTAGCCACAGGCTGATTCTCACACCCGAACCAGCTGTGACTTGGAGGTAGCAACTAACACGTCCTGACACTGGTACCCAAAAGCTTGGCTCTTGCACCAAGGTCTGACTGAACCAGAAGCTGCCCAGACAAACGAAAACACCCCATCACCTTTCAGCAATCCCACCCCTCCCACTGGTGCTCCCGCACTGGGGCAACAGCTGCCTCCAGCTGTATCTATTCCATATTCTCTCACCACACCTCCCGCTCACCGATTTTCCTGCTAGTTCAGTTGCTGATACCCCCTCTGCCTCCCTCCTCCCTTCAGGACAGCTGAGCACGCAGTGCAGACGTGGGTCAGGATGTCAGAAATCTACGTGCATGATGCGGAACCAAGCAACAATTAAGACCCCTTAGTAAGAGCAAAACAAACTTTCCCTCCACTTATCTTGGAATCTAGCTTTGTTTTTCCTTTTCTTTTACAGGGTAAGCATTAAGTCTATTAAAATACAGTCAGGTGCAGTAGCTTTAACTGCCTTTTGTTACCAACATGCAGTTATTAAATTGAAGGGCTGTTTTGTGCAAATCTGCCTGTCCAGCACCATAGGCAAGCCCCGTGCGGCTCCTTCAATTTGTCATCTCGGTATCGAAGGCTTCATAAAGAATCGAGGGAGTAAGTAATGCAGGAATAAAATCAAAATAGCAATGTACATTTTATCCTAACTTACTCATTTCTACAGAAGTCATGATAAGAAGAAACCCCACAGATCTCTGTGAGGGCTGTTTCTCCAGACTGGTTAACCAGAGTAAGACGGAGAAAAGAAGCCAGATACCTACTTCCTTGTTATATTTGTGCAATCAGTAGATCTAAGCAACATTTGTGAACAATATTTTATCACCCTAAAGAAAGATACACGGAGAAATGAGTTGTCTTAGCTGTCTTTAAACAACTTAACTCCTGCAAGCATGTGCTAAGAAATTTGTGCTCACGCTTTACATGGCTTTCTCGCAGCGGAAGCTGTGAGCGCTTGAAGAGTTTTTTTGCCCAAATATCCATGACATGATCTCAGTTGTCATAGAAACAAGTCAGCTATCTCCTTGCCAAAAATTTTCTGCCTAATACAGAGATACAGTTAAGTATTCAATGCTGGTGGCTTAAATTACTTCAAGAAATCCCATTATTTGTGCACCTTTCTTGAAGCAAGACGCAGTTTTATTTAGACCTCCTGCCAGATTTTAACAAAAAGCTGTGACGGAAAATGCTAATACACTGCTAAAGAGAAAAATATA